AAGCACAAATGATTTGAAGAAATAGCCCTTCTCACTGTCTCTCTGCCTGTATCTTCTTCTCCAGCTACCTCAGCCCTGCTAGAAAGATCTTTCTTGTGTGGAGAAGAGAAGAGCTGGCTCTCATGGAGCGCTCCTCAGGAAGCAGCATTCCTGGCATGCCACTCCCTGCTGCTGCTGAGGGTCCCAAGGCTGAGGGTGCTGGAGGCATGACAGTCACTTCACAAATGGATGCTGCCCTGCCTAGGGGCTTGTGTGCAGCCCCATGGCTCAGAGCCCCCGTACTCAGTCCCTGGGAGCAGAACACCATGGATATCCTCCACAAGCCAGGGACAACCTCCTCCCTTGCACAGCACCAGCTGCAAAGGACAACAGCCCACAGAGGCTGTGATCAAGTTCTCCCCCAAATCCCGAGCCAGAGAGGCAACACAAAGTCAAAGAATGACATCTGTCCTATCATCACACTGCCTGCTTTCCTCTGACACCAGGGTGGTGGAGGAATGTATGTATAAAGGGTCTAAATAGTATGTATAATGTACGTAATGTAAATTATCTAAAATCTAAACATATGTATAAAGGGTCTAAATAGTTCCACAGGAGGAACGCAAACTGAGATACAGGACAAGTGAGAGCAGTCACCACATGAAAAATTCCCTGTGGCAACACCCAGGACATCTGTAGAGAAAGCATCCCAGTCTTAAATCTGAAAATGCCAAACCACATGCTTGCTTTATAATACGGTCATTTATTAAAAGCAAGGAAAAAAACAACTCCACATTTAATCCTTTATCCTTGCATCCAAATCCTCAAAGACAGAAGGTCTGTATGCATTGAGGGCCAGACAATTTGCAAGTTTATAATTCTACTGAGGATTTTCAAATGCAGTGAGGGAGGAGAGTCTGTGTCTCCTTAACCTCAAAGGATCACACAAGTATAGCTAAGACAAAAATTATACCTCGCTTCAGGCTGCATTTTCCTTTCTACACACATTTACCATTTCTAGCTTCCTCGCTCATTATATAGCTTGTATACATTGCGTTGATTCTTTTTAATTCATATGCAAGCCCTCCAGTCTCCTGCCTGACTCTTATTTTGAATATACTCTCATGTAGCACTCTAACAGCAATGAAAAGCCCTGTAACACATTCACTTGGTATCCCCTATAGATGAAAAACAGCCTTACTAAAGAAAATTCAGTTATAAGTTGTTTAGTCAGAATTCTTTTTAAGAAGCCACTGTGTATTCATTACAGAAATAGCATGACTCCAAAGAAACAAGTAGTGTCATAATTCATATGAAACGCCCATTCCCCAAGCCTATGGGTTTTGCACACAGGATTCTACATTAAATCCACTCAGTTGTTCTCTATTATTTTTCATTGATGTATCAAACTAAATGCTCCCAAGTCTAATGCCAATCTAGAGGCAATGCACTATGCCATCAATTAAAACAGTTTATAAATTTCAGTTTATAAATTTCATGTTTATAAACAGTTTATAAATTTCATGCTCAGGTTAAACAACCTTCCAAGAAGCCAAACCCAGAGACCAAAAACTGACAATGTGACACTCAGATAAAGGAAAGAGAACTGCATTGCTTTGAGATGCTCAGAGGGATTTTATCTGTTTAGTTGTCAAAACTAAATTACCAGAGGAGCTCCAGACTAAATTCAGACTCTCCAGGGCTGCACCCATCCATAACCTGGCTTTTTTGGCACATCACTATCACAGAAGGCATTCAGAAAACTCAGGGGACACTGCACTTTGCTTGGCCTACTTAGGAGAGACAAAAACCACATCTAAGACTCCCAAAGAATACAAATACTTTATGACTAAGCCAGCCATTCCTTTGCCGCTCCTTATCCAAACAGCTCTGTTCCTATAAAGCCTTTAGTAAAGGCAGAATGTCACATTATTCCTTCTTGCTTAAGCTCAGAATGTCAAAAATTATTGACGAATGCGGGCACCCATGAGGTCTCACAGACAGGTGCTGAACACAGGCATATGCCATATCTAGGTTGCTCATATCTCCTAAAAGTAACACCTTTGAGCTTTTAATTCAGATATAGCACCCGCCTGCCTTCCCTCTCCCACCTTTTCTGATCTTGCACTTAGCTTTTGGTGGCATTTTGATTGCTCCTTATTAACAAAAATGAACAAGAATTGAATAGTCATAAACCAGCATGACTAATCTTAATGCTTTTTTCTAAAAGAAGAAGAAAATGTCCATACAATTTTATAGTAGGTTATAAAAATTTAGTTACAGCAGCTCTGCAGCTCCCTATTAATGCTGTGAAATGCTTCATAGTTGTAAAGAGTTTCCCACATATTCCTTCTCTTTGAAGTCCTGGAGAAATGCTCATATTTTATGGAAACCAACATTCATCTGCATGAAAGCTGCCAATGATTCAAGGAACATCAGCCAAAGAACGCCAGAATGAATGAGTTAGATTGGCCATTCTCAAACTGCAGTGCATACAATGCTTGCTAGTGCTCTGGCTGTTAGTTGGCTGGTCATTTCTGCTACCGTTCCCTTAATTTCCCTCCTGCAAACTATACTAGAAATATGCTAAATAAAATACATCTATATTAAATAAACTGGTTTGAGTTTACACAATAAACTACATGAAATGCAGAAAAATTCCTAAAGCCTCTTGCCCATCTGTCTTCAATCTCTACACACGCATGCCTTGCACATGAGAAATGGACTATGCAGTCTCAAGGGGAAAGGACCTGGTCTTAAGACTACTGTGCTCTAGTGTCTGCAATAATCTATCAGTGTTTAGATTCGTCCGTTCAGAGAGTAAAGTCCTCTGGAACACAGGAAGGACTGTCCTGGAATGCTTCTTTAGATAAGGCACTACTAAAGCCCCTTCTGGACTGTAAAGAGCATCAATGCAAAAACAGGAATGTGTAAGTATCAAGGTCGACTATCAAACCAAAGTGCAGAAATTCAAATTAACAGTTTTCACCTGTTAAGAATGTAAAAGCATCAGGTAACAATAGCAATCAATACAATCTAGGAAATTCTAAAGGAAGAAAAGGTTTAATTTTATACAGAATGGAGTAGGAGCTGTAATGAGACAAGCCTTTTTTTAGTTTTTCCCTTGTGGTATGTCCCAAAATCCTCACTGGAGGTCACAGAAAAAGTTGTATAAGAAGCTGTGTAATGAAATGGGACAGTGGATTTGTGACAGTTCCCATGCTTGCTTGCCCCACCCAGCTGAAGTCTCTCAATCTTATCTTCTTACATAATTTTAACTCATTGTATTCTGCTTAGTCAAAATTTTCTTAGATCACTTCTCCTCTATTTTGAGAAATGGTTTTGGTGGGGGTTTTTTGTCTTGTTTTTGGGGTTTTTGTTTGTTTTGTTGGGATTTGGGGGGGATTTTTTTGGATTTTTTTTTTGAAAGCCCACACACATTTAACTTGATTGAGAAGTCACTTCAAAAGCTTCCTTTCAACTATTTATGAGCATTTAAATAGCTACACAGGAACAAGTCAATAACTTGTCTACTATGCTTCCTGTTTCAAACAATGACAAACATTGGGTATTTTGGGATGCAAAAGTCCATTTTCTTGTATCTATCTCCTTAAGTGTGTGCATGCCTAATGTTTATATTTATCTATCTATATATAGCTACTCCCACATTTACATGCAGTTGCACACACATCCCTGTGTGAATACTGTCTTTATATAAAATTCACCAAAATAAAATACTTAGGCTAACTTCCGGACATGTAAATATAGCAACAGCTAAAAATAACACTTCAGTTTCAAGTTTAATAATGGTTAAAAAGATTATTTCCAATTATGTCTTTTATTGTTCAGTTTATATCAGTTACCTACATGAACTTTAACCTGCACTTTTTCAACCTCGATTTTATGGCTGTTGTGCAAGGCTGCAAGCATGGAACCCTACTCTTCTAAATTTTGAAGAATAGGCTGTGAGACTATCAACCTCAAAGGATTATCTGTACCTTTCAGGGAACATCTCTGAGACAGAAAATTTACCCAGAGTGGTAGGTAAATTCAAATATATGAATATAAGATCCTGTTTATGCATTTCATCTGGACCAGGAAATAGTCAAAATGTAGCAATGCGGTTCCTCTTTCACGTACTTAGAGTATTCTCTTCATAAGTAAGATATTCCCAGCAGATTAGTCGTCTGGAAGTAGCAATCTAAATTAGATCTCCTCCAACACAAGAATCTTCAAATTTAAAAATCACAGTAGAGAATCAGAAAAAAATAATTCCCCCAGGGGCATGGGTATTCTCAGTGAAACATCAGCCTTTGTCATTTCTAGCCATCATCTAGTTACAGACCCTGTTGTTTAACACCTATCTTGTAGTTGCCACTCTGATTAACCAAAATGTCCAAAGTATTCAAACCATTAGCCCTTTTTTATGGGCTCACTACCAAATATACTTACAACAAGAATTCAGTTACATTTAAAGAGAAACAGGCAGATGTTCCTGACAAAGTTCTAAAGCCCTCACAGCAGCTAGAGGCTCATTTCCTCAAATCTATGTTTTTCCTCAGTCACACTTGTGCTCTTTTCCTGCACACATAAGCAGGGATTTTAGGAACCTCACCAGGAAGGAAAAGGAGTTGGAGAATTTTGTTCATCTGGGGTGTCAGCTCTCATTTGTCTCTGTCTCAGTTATGTCCACTCTCCATTTGGAAAGATACCACCCCAGTAGCTTTAAAACACAAAAGCTTATCACTGTATTCTTTTCTTGCTTGGCCAACCTTTTTATTACTTTTATGTATCTTCTGCTACATTTGTCCCATTCACCTCTGCCTTTGTTATGCTTTCCCAAGGCACCTTATCTATCCACGATTAACACAAACGCAAAAATGCTTCCTTCGCACATACATTAGTCTCATTTCTCAAAGTAACTGGTTTATGTCAAAGTTAAAAGTTATCTATTTTCAACAAATCAGACTCTTAAAGAGGTTTTAAAATAAACACTTGTAAAGCATACTGTGCTTTCTTACCTGAACAGAGTTGTTCAACTTTTGTGTAGTTTAAAGCTAATATATCATTAACCCATGCGATGATGTCATGTCTGCTCATAGTCTCTTGGGTTATAGAGGTAGAGTACACGTTGACCGCCATTCCCCAACTAGGAAAAAAAAAATATTTTTGACATTTTCGTAATTGTTTTCTGAATATAATGAACATACATTTCCTGTTCAAACAAGGGACAGAAAAGGTGCAACACTCACAATTCTCTCTTATTTATTGAGAGAGGAGGCTTAATTTTTATTCTTTAATGATAAACTTCTTCAATGTCCTCCTGGAATCTATGACCATATTTCTCCAGCTGTCACTGTGAACTTAAAGAACATAGAAACCTACAGTACTCTGCTTCATGCTAGTAAGGTAGAAAAAAAAAGAATCAGACATAGCCAAAAGACACGTAGACAGGATCAGAGATCTGAGATTTTGTAACAGTGCTGCATGAATGCAGTGATCTGATCTCTTGTCAGTTTTTTGCCCCTGCAGGACAATCAGGCTGCCTAAACCAGTATTTAATTTTCAGATAAATTCTAGATGATGCAGCTGTTCTATTTACTGGAACACTGATTTCTTACTGGGACAGGGGCCTTTTGCATAATTAATTCAGTCACAGAGTGAATACCAGATAATCCTCGTTATCAGTTTACCAGCTTCTATCCTGAAAGTAACTGAGACTTGCACCTCCAACTGTCTCGTAGGAAAGCTGCTGTGGAGCCCAACTCCTCTAAAACATTAAGAACATTCCCTCTCAGGTTAAACCCATTTGTTCTTCTGCCAACATTATCCTCCAGCTCTAATGGCTTTCTCCTCCCCAGAGCAGATTTCCTAATGTGTTAGGGACAGCACTCAGAGTCTGTCCCAATGCCCAGGTAGTCTAGATTAAACAAATCAATTTGAGTCTCTTATATCAAGTCAGACATTCACTGACTGGTATTGCCAGCAGTCCTCCTTGAACAGACAGTTTCAAACTATGTTAAGATAACACTTCACTGAGACCTTGGAAAATGGCACTGTGTGCTCAAAGTTTTCACAGCTACATCATCTTACATAGATTCTTCTAGTTAGCTAAGGTCCCTTCCTGCAAGTAGGTAATTCATAGTAGCTTTATCATCAGTCCCCAAGTACACAGACTAGAAATGCATACTACTGAGCTTTATTCCTTGTTATCCTATCCCAGTCACATCTTTCTGTTGTGAGACATTGCCAAGATAAAAGATGAGCATGTTCAAGTTCATCTCAACAACAGTTTCAAAGAATGGAATCATGATCATTCATGAAGAGAGTAAATAATGTTCCCATGAGTAGTGGACATCAGAAAGTCCACTAGGAACAATCTGAGTATGAGGTGTGTCAGAAACATTCAAATAGTCAAAGTTGAACAATTATTCTTAGAAAGAATAATTGGTTTGGTGGGCACTGCACATCTCCATTTCTAGTGACATCTGTAGTAACACCTGTCTAGCTTTGGTGTCAATTCTGCCACCTCAGCCTTGGACCTCAACTTTCTCAAAAGCAAGAGAACAAGATCTCCTATGTAAGATTAGAGGTCTGCATGGACTATTTCCATTCAGAATTTGCAGAGATGCAACCCTTTGAAGCTTGAGAAACAATTCTGCAGGGAACAAAAAGACTGCAACTTAACTCCACCCATAGTTAGGTGTGCTGGGGCAACCTAGATAAAATGTGTGGGAAAACCCACCAGCATGAAACTTGACTCACTAACTTGTAAGTGTATAAGTACATAACACAGAGAATAAATTTAAATACAAGATTACAAAGTTCATAATACGGGCCACTTTCTAGGAAACAAATCTCTGAAGGTTGTTAAATTGTTCCCATCTACTGAAGTTAAGATCCAAAACATAAAATCCTCAAATTTGCTTTACAGGAAAGAAGAAAAAAAAAAAGATGGGGAAAAAAAAAAGAGAGAAAATAGGGTCAAAAAATTAATGCTCCAATAGTCAGGCTACTACTGCCAGAAATTCATTCATTCGGAACCAGGCTGCCTCTATACCCGCTTGTGTACAGGCACCTCCAAAGCATGGAAGAAATCAGCCTGTGCTCAGTCTGCTCAGTTCTTCCAGCGGGCTCCCAGATAGCACAGCCAATTTCATGAACACAGCCCTGCATTCACTGTAACAGTTAGCAAAGGTTGCTTTCTTGGCATGCACTAAGTGCTTGGATTGAACCAAGCGCTAGGAACAAAGTTTTAGAAACAGGGAGTGCCCTTTTACTCTTAAAAGCTACACCATAATGACTATTCAGCATCAGGATGGAAGGGACTGAGCAGGCAAACAGCACCTTTGATACTAATTGCATCTGAAGTCTGTAACGTCGCTGCTAGAGTGGTTTTTACTTTATTATTTTTAGCCTTTTTAGATAGATAAGAAACTAAAAGAAACATACTACCACTGCCACTATTAAACTAACATGTTAAATACTGTCTGTAAGATCAGCTGAAATAAAAGCTTAATAGTGAATTTAATATTCACTTAAGATTCAGAATAGTGAGTTTAATATTAAACCAACAGACTGATATGGAACAGTTCCACTCAATTCTAAAGAAGCTAAAGATATTTAGATGGTAACATTTGAAATCAAGTTACTCTGATCTGTAATTGCCACTACTTCATGAAAATTTTAATTGGCCTCTCGAGGCCAGGCAGAGCTCAGAACAACCATCAGCTACCAGTAGTGAAAGGGGAAAGTTTACTCTGTTAAAAAGATCAAGAAAATCCACACACAAGAAGGAAGCAGAACTTCCCTCATCACCCTTTTCCACACAGAACTGCAGAGAGATACCCACCTTCCTGCAACCCACAGGGGACCAAACAACCTCCTCTACTGCAGTGCATGGGGTGGGGAACTCCACTGCAGGAAACTGTGAGTAAATGAATAACCTTGAGTTTTACAATCCTACCCTGAAGGATAACTGTAATACAACTTACACTGTGTCTGCAAATGAATTATTATGGTCTATTGGTCAAACAAAAGTTCAGGCTATTTGTTAGAGACCGTAGCTTCACATTTGTACACACAAATATGCATGAGGGTGTATCAGTACCATTTTAAAGTTAAGCGAAACGAATAAGAATTTTTGTTAAAAAAATTCAATAACATGCCATTGCCATTCATTCACAGTGACGTGGTGACATACATCTGAATCTTCCACAGCCTCTTCTCTTGAAAGAGTTAGCCCTGTCTTTGCATCTCCTGTTCCCCACCCTCCTACTGGTTATATTCTAAATAAACTCAGCTGGGAAAGGTTTCCTGTACAGTAAGCATGTTCTAATTTGGTGGTCAGATACACACAGCTCCTCTTTGCCACACAGAGAGACCTTGAACAAAACAAGAAAAAAAAAAAGAGGAAAAAGAAAAAAAAGAACAAGCAGGTGTAGGTAGCACAGCCACCATGCTCAGAAACAGCCAAGAACCCCTGTGCTCAACATCTACAGTTGGGCTTGGGTTTTCTGCCTGACTTATTTCCCTGAGTGTTGAAGTATTTTGAAAAATGTGATTCAGCTTCAAAATGCATCAATAAGCACATGTAAGGCGATGCAAGAGAACAGCTGGACAGGCAGACAACAGGCCATACTCTGAACAGCCAAGTAGCTAACAACTTGATTTTATGTCCTAATATACTACTGCTTTCCAATAACATTATTTACATTTTCAACTTGTTAGGCTTCCCCGTGATTAGGCTGAAGGCTCTCAAGCATAGGCTTGCAATGAGGCTTAGACAAGCCTGAAAACCGTCACCTACCTGAGATCCTTCACCTTCCACAGAGATGCCTGGTGATTCCATAGTAACTAAAAGCAGATGAGGATAGCACATCACACCTCTCACTTCAGAGCACACAGGTGGAGGTTAAAATCCTCTGGCTATTATAGTACTGCCTAACCACAAAGGACTCTATCCCTTGCTTTACCTCAAGCCACAGGAGAGTCTTCACATATTAGTCCAACCATTTCATAAACACACTTCATACATGCACAACTACACACCACAGACCTGAGTTCAGAGGATTAGCTAGGTGCTGAAAACCATGTATATGCTTAAGCAGTCAGAAATATACTGGCTCAGCATGTCCAATAGTAAACATTACACCCGAAGATCTATTAATTTTTTAAGGCATTGCATGTAGCACTAAACATTCAGCTATTAGGCATTTTCCACTGCTCTTGCTACAGATAACTGCAGCTGTTACAAGGTGCTATCCAGCTGTTCCTAAGATCAGTTTTGCAAGAAGCATATTTACTTTATTTTTCCAGGGATAAACTAACAGTTGTTGACAGCAGAAGCTGTATTACAACAAACCATTAATAATGGCACCAGTAATAACAGCAAGACAGGAAGGACTACAGCAATGAACCTAATCCGTAATTGTAAAAACTCATCACACATGCCATCACCTCTGAACCTGCAAGGCCTTCATGCTTTCATGGAATAGTCAAGGTTGGAAGGGATCACTGCAGGTCACCTAGTCCAACCTCCCTGCTCAAGCAGGGCCATCTAGAGCCCGTTACTCAGAATTGTGTCCAGATGGCTTCTGATTATCTCCGGAGAAGGAGACTCCACAATTTCTCTGGGGAACTTGTTCCAGTTCTCAGTTACCCTCACAGTAAACAATTTCTTCCTCATGTTCAGGTGAAAGCTCCTGTGTTCCAGTTTCTGCCCAGTGCCTTTCGTTTAGTAGGCATGGTACAATATTAAGCTTTTAAATGCAGTGGAAAGTCTATGTGACAGTACAAAGAGGAGCCTTCTGGAAGCTGGCACCTGATAGATACTGCCAGTAAAAAAAAAGATCTCACACCAAAAATTACTGAAGCAGAAGATACAGCAGAAAAGCTAAGCTGAAGCTGAGACTGCTGCAGCTGCTGTTGAAAAGGCTTTCTAGATTAAAGCTACTGCAAAACAAAAAAATCCCTGAAGGAAGAAACCTGCCAGACTCAGAGGCTAACTCCCTGAACAAGGAAAATTCATCCTTTCCAAAATCATCTCGAAATGGCAACTGATTTGCTAGACCTTGTCTGTTTCTTTAACACTCACTGCACACAGCCTTAGCCACAGTCATTAGAGGCCAGTTATGCTTGAGGTTGTCT